TGCAACACATTTCTTCATTTGTACATACTACACACACACACACACACACACACACACACACACACACACACACAGCCCTCTCCAAACAATGCATCTAGCATCCTCAGACCCCGCCTACATCTGGCTGCATGTACTTCTCTCTGAACAATGGAATAGTCTCCTCTTTCCACAACCAGCAAACTTGGACAATCTGTGCTCCACATTAATCAGAGGCATTATGGGAAGAAACATTCTCAGCCGATAAGTGATTACATGACTTAATCTGTCAAAACAGAGAACCGCCCGCTATTAGCCAAACTCTTCCTTCTTTTGGACCCCGTAAGAGGAGACCCAAACAGTAACTGGGGCTCTTGAGCACCTCCAGTGTCAACCTTGACAGTGGGTTTCTGATCTTCTTTTTTAATTCTATGTGTATAAGTGTTTACATACACATATACATGTGTGCCACATGCTTGTCTGGTGCCCACAGAGTCCAAAGAAGGGTCCCTTGAAACAGGAATTAAGGATGGCTGTGGTCCACCTTGTGGGTGCTGTACCATTTCTTCAGCCCCGTTTTTCTGATCTTTACTACTGTGTTGGAGTGTGTGTGTGTGTGTGTGTGTGTGTGTGTGCCTGCAGAAGCCAGAATAGGGTGTAGAATCCTATGGAGCTGAAGTTAAAGGTGGTTGTAAACCACCCAACTTGGGTGCTGGGTAGCAAACTCGGTCCTCTGGCAGAGAAGAAAGTACTCATGCCTTCTATGTCATCTCCCAGTCACTTGCTTTGCCTTTAAATCAAGTTTTCTTGCTACTTTTGCAAACCTGTGTGAGCCCTTTCCTCAATCCTTTGAATAAGGGGAAAGGTGGGTGTGTTGTGGGATGGCTCAGTGGGTAAAGGTACTCAATACCAAGGATGCTGACCTGAGCTCTGGCCTCAGGACCTATACCATGGAAGGTGAGAACCAGCTCTGATCTCCACAGTGCATCCTGGCAAGAGTGCACACACATTCAAGCACATACACAAATACAAATAAATATTTTTTTAAAGATCAAAAACCTGGAAACACCTGTTCAGATATGGACCACTAGTAATAGCCTGAAGAATTTCCCTTTGTGGGACTGGAGTTTTGAGGGTCAAAGCCTGGACTCTGGAAGTTACTAGCCCCAAATCATATCTAAACAAGCATCAGCAGAGGTGGAGGCCAGACGCCGGACCCTCCCTCATGATCATTTCGAACCCCACCTAACATTTACCATAAGGTAGCTCAGGAATTTGTTGAAGCCCATTAAGGGAAAGCCATTTCCTCCTAATCATAAGAATAGAAACTGAGTCCTAATCTGTCCTGTTCCAGTGATTAGAACATTACATACTATTGTCTCCTCCCTTAAGAGTTAATTCAAATGAGCCTGTCAATCACCAGCCCAGAAGAAGCCAACCCCCAAAAGCTGGAAACATGCTAAAGAGATGAGAAGAATGCTGTCCCTTAGTGAGACAATATATACCCCAGGAGCCTTTCCTTCAAAGCAGGTGCTTGCTTAGGAATCATTACTGAGGGGCTGGAGAAATGGCTCAGCAGTTAAGAGCACTGGCTGCTCTTCTAGAGAACCTGAGTTCAATTCCCAGCAACCACATGGTGGCTTACAAGTCATTGCTAAGCCTCCCCATATTTCTGAGTTCTAACTTAGAAGCATATATTTTCCTTTTCTCCTTTCTGTCTCTTCTTTGGATACTAAGCATCTTCGCCCTGACACTCTGGTTCTTCTCATTCCCACCTTCAGTTTTACAGCTGCTTGCAGACTTCCATTGCTGAAGCTGTCTACCTGTCTTCCTTCCTTCCTTCCTTCCTTCCTTCCTTCCTTCCTTCCTTCCTCACCCCCCCCCCCTTTAGAGACAGGATTTCTCTGTGAACCCCTGGCTGTCTGGGAACTTGATCTGTAGCCCATGCTACAAAGATCTGCCTGACTCTGCCTCGCTGGAATTAAAGGCACCTGCCACCATGCCTGCTCTCTCCTTCCTTTTAAATTTTTATGTATGTCTGCACCATGTGCATGCAGTTCCCACAGAGGCCAGAAGAGGGCATCGGGTCCCCTGGAACTGGAGTTACAGCAGGTTGTGAACAGCCTTGAGGGCTAGTAATCAAAGCCAGGTTCTGTGGAAGAGTAGCCAGTGCTCTGGACAGCTGAGCCATCTCCTCAGCCCCAGTTACCTGCTTTATTGAAACCTAACTCACTCCTTGGTTTCTCCAACTCCCTCCTCCTGGCCATTGCCAGGATTTACAGCTCTTCTGCCCTGTGATTTTTCTTTCAAACCCTAGACTAAGTGGACAGGATGAAAGAGACAGAGAAAGGACACCAGGAGAGAAGGGATGGGTCTTTTCTAACTAAACCTTGAAAGTTACATACTATCAGGTGTCCTGAATCCTACTGCTCACATGGATCAGCCCACATGCAAGAGCATGTGTGAATCACTCAAGGGTTCTCCTTCCGGGTCATCTTGGGACCTGCCTGCCACTGTGCAAATTGTAGTGTTTGGGAAACACATCATAGAAGGAGAGATAAGGTGTAACTGCATGATTTTTGTCACCCCTCCTCCACTATCCCATGGAAGGTGAGATTAGAAGATTTTTAAAATTATAGTGTGTGTGTGTGTGTGTGTGTGAGAGAGAGAGAGAGACAGAGACAGAGACAGAGACAGAGACAGAGAGACAGAACAACTTGTAGGAATCAGTTCTCTCCTCCCACCATATCCCAAGGTTGGAATCCAAGCCATCAAGATTGGCAGCTTTGCCCAGTGAACCCTCTATGGAAGCGGTGGATACACTGGTGGTCTATCAGATACTCGTATGAACTGATCATGGGCAGAGTTAGGTAACTACCTGAGTATGTTATTAGAGAAGTTCACATGAGAGATACTAACTTAGGACTTACCCCCTTGTGAGGAGCATTCTAAAATGCTTATTTCTTATTTTTATTTATTTATTTATTTATTGTTATTATTCTTTCATATTTTACATCCTGACCCCAGTTTCCCCTCCTTCCCCTTCCTCCAGTTTCTCCTCCCATCTCCCCGCTCCCTCAGATCCATGCCCCCTCAGTCTTCCCTCAGAAAAGAGCAGACGTGCCAGGGACATCAACCAAACATGGCATAAAATGCTACAATAAGACGGGGCATACACCAGCGCATCAAGGCTGGACAAGGCAACCCAGTAAGAGCTGTGTGTGTGTGTGTGTGTGTGTGTGTGTGTGTGTACACGTGTATACATATATGCCTGCCCATGGAGGCCAGAAGCCGGAATTGGATCCCTTGTAATAAGAGTTACAGGAAATTGTGAGCCATCTAACATGGGTGCAGGGAACTGAACCTGGGTCCTCTGCAAGGGCAGGATGTGCTCCTCACTGCTGAGCCATCTCTCCAGCCCTATGGCAGCACTGAAAACTGGAGATTGAACTAAATCCCCCAGGACGTCATTACAAACAGACAGGAGAAAGGCACAGGTTTGAACTCCCAATCCCATTGTCTTGATTTGAAGATTAAGAATTCAGTGAGGGAAAGGAACTAAGGACAAGATCAAATGACAGCAAACACCACCTCCTTGCTAAGTACTGCTGAGAGTGATATGCTCAGATTGTCTGCCAGGATCTCTGCATGAGAAAATCCTGTAGGGTCCTTAGGGAGAAGACCAAGAGGAGACAGAAAAATCAGTCCAGTCAAACGCCGTCTGCTTAACAATAGAGCAAACAATAATTAAGAGCTGATTATATATAATGCTGAGCAAGTCATGGAAAGCTCCAGACGGCCGAATAAAGTAAGTAGGATTATTCCCAGCCCAGCACAAGGAAACCAACTCACAAAGGGGCTGAGCTGTCACTGTGGTCACAACAGCTAGCTAGTGGCAGCACTGAGGCTACAGCTGGCCGAATAACCCCAGAGCTCTGCTATGCTTAGGCAGGAGCATCCATTCTCTTTTCTGCTGATGGAGAAGTCTTTCTGCAGGGTATTCCAAGAAGGGAAGGTGTAGATGAGCAACTGACTACTGAGCTGCCTGCAAGGTGTATGGGGACGAAGCCTTTGTGAGTCACTAGCCACTCAGGGTTGGGCTTCTCAGTGACACAGCTGCCTTTGAGTCACCCATATGCCTGTGACTAACACCCAGTAACATGGGTGGAATACATCTTTGGTCTCTTATTGTTATCCTGTCTGGGGCAAACAGACACTTGTTCACACCTCCCCAGAAAATGACACAACACTAAGATGCATGAGACCCTATCTCAAAATTTTTTTTATGCCAAAGAGATTTTAAAAGATTTATTTTAGCTGGGTGGTGATGGCATACGCCTTTGATCCCAACACTTGGGAGACAGAATCAGTTGGATCTCTGTGAGTTAAAGGCCAACCTGGTCTACAGAGTGAATTCCTGGACAGCCAGGGCTACACAGAGAAACCCTGTCTTAAGACAAACAAACAAACAAACGAAGATTTATTTTATTTTTAATTATGTGCATGTGGGTGTGTGCAGTTGCTCGCACAGGCCAGAAGAGGTCATGGATTGCATGGAGCTGGAGTTACAGGCAATTGTAAGCCCCTCCTCCCATGGGTGCTGGCAGCTGATCTGGGGTCCTCTGCAAGAGCAGTACACACTCTTAACCACTAAGCCATCTCTTCAATCCTTAAAAAATAAAACTCAAATCCAACATTCTATTATTTCTTTTGTTGTTGTTGGTTTCTTTTCCTTTCTTTTTTTTTTTTTTTTTTAAGATTTATTTATTTATTATGTATAGAGTATTCTGTCTGCATGTATACCTAAAGGACAGAAGAGGGCACCAGATCTCATTACAGATGGTTGTGAGCCACCATGTGGTTGCTGGGAATTGAACTCATGACCTCTGGAAGAGCAGCCAGTGCTCTTAACCACTGAGCCATCTCTCCAGTCCCCCCATTCTATTATTTGTAAGAACATAATTACACAAGTATGAACTGCGTGATCTATCGCTGCCATATACACTGGAGTGTGACTGACTCACCTTGAAGATGAGAGTTCTCTAAGAAATCTTCATGGGTTTCCTTTGTCTCTCCAGGTTTTGCTGACCGAAACTCACTTCTCAGAGAAATCTTCCACCATCTAAAGATGATCTGTAGTTAAATAAGAGTTGGTAGCAGTTAAAAATGAGTCTAATTCTGACAGCTATCCTAAGTTTAGGGTTATTTGTTCACTTGTTTTTGTTTGTTTGTTTGTTTGTTTATTTGAGACAGGGTCTCATGCAGCCCAGGCCGACCTAGAACTCACCAAGTAGCCAAGACTGGCCTTGAGTGCTTGATTCTCTTGTCTCTGTCTACCAAGTGCTGGCAGCCTGGTCTACAGAGTGAGTTCCAGGATAACCAGGACTACACAGAGAAACCCTGTCTCAATAAACAAAAACAAACAATCTATCAGGCCACTGAGGCTAGAGAAACGGGTTAGTGGTGAAGAGCTTTCATTCCCAACATCCATGCAGCTGTTAACCACCATGTGTAATTACAGCCCTAGGGGATCCAACACCTTCTTCTGGCCTCCTTGGACACGGCATGAATCTGGTGCACAGACATGCATGCAGGCAGAACACCCAGGACTGCAGTACTGCCATCACAGGCAATTCCTCCACATGCCCCACCTCCCCTGGGCTCTGACTGCTTCATTAGCCTGTTTTGCTCTTTCACCTCCCCAGCTCTAAACTGAACTTTTATCCGTTTCCAGACCATGTTCTACTATGAACTACATTCTGGCTTGAAAACAACAACAAAGAAACGCATGTTCCTTTGGTTACTTTTAATTCCCTTCATCTCCATAGGTTTGTGCCTTACAAAAACCGTACATGTTGTCACTTTAGTGGTGCTGAAGAGATGAAAACTGGCAGTTCTGTAAGTAGAGGATGCACTCTATAGTACCAAGATAAGATACTTAAAGTGCCACAGACCATGTGCAGCATCATCTTTTAAAGATAAAAAAAATTGTTTTTGTTACTTTTAATTTTTAGGTATGAGTGCTTTGCCTGCACGTACGCCTGTGTGTCACTTGCATGCTCCAGGTCTGCTGGGGCCAGAACAAGGAGTTCAAGCCCTTGGAACTGAAGTTACAGTTCGATGAAAAGAAAATCATTCCTTCACAAATTAATACAAATGCAGTGCCAATAAATATTTGTTTGTTTTTTAAAATGGGCCAAATTCTTGTCAATTCATATGGTAAAATAAATGTACAGAAGTACTGGGATAGCCAAAGAGTTAGGGAATTGGCAGACAAAAAAAAAAAAAAAAATTCTCCAGGAGGAAGAAGCCTCCTTTCTCAGAAGTTTGCAAACGCTGTTGGAGAGGTGGTTTATCCCTGCACTTGAGAGCTGAGGCAGGAGGAATTCCTGGTTGGCCTAACAGAGTGAAATATTGTCTCTAATCTATACCCAACAAAACAAAATAAAATACACACACACAAAACCCCAAACACCTCAGAGCCTAACATCTTACCAAGGAGTTCTCAAGTTGCTTCAACCTGCTTAGTTAAACATTACCCAGAAGGCTGGAGAGAGTTGGGAGTTTAGGAATGCTTGCTGCTCTTCCAGAGGATCTGAGTTGAGTTCCCAGAGTCCACAAGGGAGGCTAACAATTGCCTGTAACTGTAGAAGATCCAGGATCTCCCAGGAGAGCCGATGCCTTCTTCTGGTCTCAGGCACCTTAACATATATGGCATACATTCATATATGGCAAACAGACACACACACACACACACACACACACACACACACACACACACACACACTACATAATAAACAAACAAAATAAATAAAAAAATCTTTTGTGGACTTTCTTTTTTTTGGTGTTTTGAGACAGGGTTTCTCAGGGTAGCCCTGGCTGTCCTGGAACTCCTGTAACAAGGCTGATCTCGAATTCAGAGATCTGCCTATCTTTGCCTCCCAAGTGCTAGGATTAAAAGTGTGCACCACCATGCCCAGCTTAAATCTTAAGTTATAAATGGGGCCTGGAGAGATGGCTCAGCAGTTAAAGCACTGACTGCTCTTCCAGAGGACCCAGGTTCAATTCCCAGGACCCACATGGCAGCTAACAGCTGTCTATAACTCCAAGATCTGACATCCTCACACAGACACCCATGTAGGCAAGCAAAACATCAATGCACATAAAATAAGAAATAAATTTAAAAATTGTAAGTGGCTTTAATTGTGTGTGTTTTAAGACAGGAGGCCACTGTGTAGCCCTAGCTGACCGGGCACTCTCAAATTTTATAGACCAGGCTAGCCTAGAATTCACAGAGATCCATCTGCCTTTGCCTCCTGAATGTTGAATTATAGATGTGAGCTACTATGCTCTGCCCTGCCTATATGTTTCTTTCTTTATTTTTTTGAAATATAAATATTTAGCTGGGCCTGGCGGTGCACACTTTTAATCCCAGCACCCGGGACGCAAAGACAAGTGAATCTCTGTGAGTTTGAGGCCAGCCTGGTCTACAAAGTGAGTTCCAGGACAGCCAGGGCTGTTACACAGAGAAACCCTGTCTTGGAAAACAAAACAACAACAAAACAAACAAACAAACAAAAACCTGAAGACTCCGCCCCTTCAGCCATTTTTATTTTAGTATGGAAGTCTGTAAAAGCTCTTGGCCATCACTCAAGTGTCGTGGTGAGTTAATAATATCCCCTGTTCTTTCTGGAGGGTGGGGAGGCAGCCAGTTGGGCTAGAGACGGCTCAGTAAGTAAAAACATCTAGCTATCCTTTGACCACACATACCATGTGGCAGTGGTCCAATTCTCTTGGCAGGAGGTTTTTTTTTTTTTTAAGTTTTTAAATTTTAGGTGTATGTGATTATATCTCTATGTGGGAATGCACACTCACTTGCTGGGTCCCATGGAAGCCAGAAGAAGGTGTTGGATCTCCCTTGCTGGAATTATAGATTGTTGAGAGGGGACTGAAATGGGTTGTTGGGAACTCAACTCCAGTCCTCTGACAGCGCTCTTAACTGAAGAGTCATCTCTCCAGGCACATACCCGAGCCCCCCCTCCCCCCACCCCCCACCCACTAAGATTTTTTTCTTTTCTTTTTTTTTTAATTTATTTTTTGTTTGTTTGTTTGTTTTGAGACAGGTTTCACTTTGTAGCCCTGGCTATCACAGAGTCCAAGATCCACCTGCCTCTGCCACCCAAGTGCTGTAATTAAAGGTGAAATAAATAATAATAAAGGTGAATTTCCTGTAGAAATAATGGATTTTTTTGTTTTTGTTTTTGTTTTTCCAGACAGGGTTTCTCTGTGTAGTTTTGGTGCCTGTCCTGGATCTCACTCTGTAGACCAGACTGGCCTCGAACTCACAGAGATCCGCCTGCCTCTGCCTCCCAAGTGCTGGGATTAAAGGTGTGCGTCACCACTGCCCGGCAAATAATGGATCTTAAGAAACTGGAAATCACCAGCAATCTCCTGGTGGAAGAAGGAATTGGCTGAGGCCTTGGTGACAGCCAAAGAAGAAATCTGTCAAGGGGGAAATGATTTGTCAGGAGACACTGGAGCTGACATAGTTGTGTACACCTCTTGCCTTCTACTTAAACCTAAATCTGAGGTTAGGACCTGAAGACGAACTGAGGGAGGAGGTGCCACTGGGTCTTTTTCTTTTTTCTTTTCCCAGTGTTTGCTTTTCACTACGACTGGTTAACTTAGTTAATGTCCAGCTCTGGCTCTGACCCCAATTCTAGGAACAAGGCAAAGTCCACTAGGCTCTTGCACTGTGGGTCTACCTGAAGAGAGTAATGACTGACTTAAGTTCACTCTCAAACCAGCTGAAGAGGAAATCATGGAGGATTTCCCACAGGGCCCAGGACAAACTCTGCATCTTGGCTCTCCCCAGATCTCCAAGTTGGATGGTTCAGAGACGAGGGAGGTTCCCAGCATCTTCCAGCCAATCTATTTATTGTCTGTGGTAGATATTCTGGAGACCCTCTCCTTTACCCATAGTCTGGGTTTTAAACATTTAAAGTTCTTAGGCCTCTGCATGTCAAAGGGTGAGCAAAGAAATTCCCCCGAGGCAATAACAGAGCAGGCTTGGGAGACCAAAGCATATATTGGTGGGAAAAGAAGACAAGAAGCTGAGAGGGTAAATCCTGAAGCAAACCTAAATGCTGCCTGGACCTGGCAGAACATATGTATGTATAATCCCGGCTACTATGGAGACTGATGCAGAAATTCCTTTTCCCAAAGTCCAGCATTTAGACAAAAGCCAGCATTCCCTCAAGGACTTAAGATAGTCCCTAATTGCTAAAAGGAGTCATTCTCCTTATCTCTGGCAAAGGGGACTTACGGCTCTTTCATTAACCCATGCCTGAGGTGCTTATTTAACAAATCAAAACTGACACTGGCAGTCAGTCTCAGCATCACCAAGACCTGTTACTGAGTCCTGGCTCCTCAGAACTTCTCACCCCAGCCTCTACCCTGAACCTTCCCAGACCCTGAGCTTCCTTCCATTCCCCTACTTCTCAGATCCATCTATAACCTCGGCCATTTTGGCTCCCAGTTCTCCTGGCCTCTTCCCCTCTTGGCCCTGGCTGGCTCCATTCCTGCTCCTTGATCTCTCTTGGTCTGTGGTTCCTCTCTTGGCCTCTTGGTCTCATGGTGTTCTCTTGGCTCCTGCTTCCTCTCTCTTCTTCTCTCCCTCTTTCCCCTCTCCTCTCTTGGCCTGGTTCAGCCTGGACCCCTCCAGGTGTCTCTGGTTGTTTTCTCCCTCATATCTACAATAAACTTTCTTTTCTACCATACCTAGGAGCTGCCATGTTCTCATTTTTTTTAAAATTTATATTGCAATTTCAAGGTGTGACTAGGCAACTTAGTGAGACCATCTCAAAAAGAAAAATATAAGGAGTTGGCGGGGTTGGGGATTTAGCTCAGTGGTAGAGTGCTTGCCTAGCAAGTGCAAGGCCCTGGGTTCGATCCTCAGCTCCAAAAAAAAAAAGAAAAGGAGTTGGCGATGGAGCTCAGCGGAAGGTCACTGGCCTAGCAAGTGCAAGGCTGTGGGTTCAGTTCTCACCCACCCCAGTATAACAAGAACTGCTAAGTGTCATCTGGCCAGAGGTCCCATTACGATAGGAATTCCAAAAACATTTGAAATATAC